AAATGATTTTCTATACAACTTTAAAAGGTACATTGTTATATCCTTTGAATCTGAAAGAGAAGCTGAGTGACTAGCATATTAAAACTGATTTAACTCAGGGGTGGCGCCTATGGCTCAAAGGAGTAAAGTGCCAGCCCCATATGCTGGAGGTGGCGGGTTCAAATCCAGTCCCAGCCAAAAACTGCAAAAAAAAAAAAAAAACCAAAACACCCAAAAAAGCCAAAAAAAACCAAAACTGATTTAACTCAAATAACCTATGATTTGAATTTTATATATATATATTTTTTAAATCTTATTTTTTAGATAAGTCTCCTTCAGCTGCCTTGGGTTGAGTGCCATGGTGTCATAGCTCATAGCAACCTCAAACTCCTGGGTTCATGTGATCCTCTTGTCTTAGCCTCCCAAGTAGCTGGGAATACAGGTGCCTACCACAACACCTGGCTAGTTTTTCTATTTTTTTTTTTTAACTTTGCCGTTTTTGGCCGGGGCTGGGTTTGAACCTGTCACCTCTGGCATATGGGGCCAGCACCCTACTCCTTTGAGCCACAGGCGCTGCCCTAGTTTTTCTATTTTTCACAGAGATGGGGTCTCACTTTGCTCAGGCTGGTCTCCAACTCCTGAACTCAGGCAATCCACCTGCCTTGGCCCCCCAGAGTGCTAGGATTACAACAGGTGTTAGCCACCATACCTGGCCTATGATGTGAATTTTAGAGACACCACTTAGGAGACTGATACAATTGAAGACAGAGGAGTCAGGACACCTGTGTTCTGGCCTTGGCTCTGTCTCTGTGTTTGTGACCTTAGGGTTCACAATCTTGAATGTGCACCAGAATCCCCTAGAGACCCACTGAGATAAACTGTTGCCTGCCACCCCTAGTTTCTGATTCAGCAAGAATGGGGTGGCGCCAGAGAATCTGCATTTCCAACAAGTTCCTAAGTGATGTAGCTGTTGCAGATTAGGGACTATGTTTTGAGAACTACTGCCTTAGGTAAGTAATTTAACCACTTTATGTCCCAGTTTCCTTGTTTGTATGATTTGATTGTGCTATAAAGTTTCTAAGTTCCCTTGTAAGTACAACTTTCTATGATCTAACATATTCAATTTTTAAGTTTTCTGTGAAACAGAACATTGCACTTCAAAATGGTTTAATATGGCCAAGACAGGTGGCTCATGCCTGTAATACCAGCACTCTGGGAGATCAAGGCAGGCAGATCCCTTAAGCTCAGGAGTTCTAGACCAGCCAGAACTAGAGGGAGGCTCTGTTTCTACTGAAAGTAGAAAAATTAGCCAGGTGTTGTAGCAGGCACCTGTAGTCCCAGCTACTTGGGAGGTGGAGGCAGGAGGATTGCTTGAGCCTAGGAGACTGACGTTGCTGTGAGCTAGGGTGATGCCACCACACTCTAGCCTGGGCAACAGAATGAGACTCTTGTCTCAAAATATATATATATATATATGGTTTACTATATATCACTTTATGGAATTAACAGGTAAGCAAAGATTATTCAAAGGTTGGCACTCTTTGTGTTTTACAGCATCTCAAGAATTGATGACTAGATTATTAAAAAGGCAATCAATTTAGCAATATAAATCTATAATACCATAATTAGTGATGGCTGAAATGCCTTTTGAACCTACTCAACTAAATTCAGAAGTTGAGAGTTCTAATCCAGACTTTGTAACTAATTTTTCATTATAAAATCTAATTTTTATACTAATTGCTTTATAACAACTACCAGGATTACAGAAAAAAACAATAAAACAAAGGTCTGGGGAATCTTTTTTATTCTTGGAAGCAGTTAAACAATTCATATTTTATGGCTGTTTCTAGTACTTCTTAGGTTATGCTTTCTAATACAAAACTTCTAATGACAAAGACTAGAGTAAAATAATAAAGTGGTATTATTTAAAAAAAACTCAGTCCTCACCATTTTCTATAAAGCACGGTAAATTGTGCAGCAGCATCAGACGTCCATGCAAATGACTGGCGTTCTCTTGAACCGGAAATTGGAGTGGCACCCTCAGTTCTAAGCACTGATTTCCTACATTGAATTTATAAACAAATTCTCTCTCTCTGTTGCAGAATCTTTCTCTGTTTTTCTTCATAATCTTTGACAGGATTTCTACAAAACTAACAAAAAAAGCGATAGGTTGTAAGTCCATTAAGAAACATGACATTTTATTACTGTTGTACCACTTCTAAAAAAAATGTTTTTGCCAGTGCAGTACCTGTAGCTCAGTGGGTAGGGCGCCAGCCACATATACCAAGGTTGGTGGGTTCAAACCCAGCCTGGGCCAGCTAAAATAACAATGACAACTGCAACAAAAATATAGCCAGGTGTTGTGGCAGACACCTGTAGTCCCAGATACTTGGGAGGCTAAGGCAAGAGAATCATTTAAGCCCAAGAGTTTGAGGTTGCTTTGAGCTGTGAGGCCACGACACTCTACCCAGGGTAACAGCTTGAGACCCTGTCTCAACAACAACAACAAAATGTTTCACCATTCAAGACTTCATTTGTGTGACTCTGAGCTAATAATTTTAGTTTTTTTCCAAGTGTTTATCCCTGCACTTTGTGATGAAAAAAAAGGTGCTTCTTCCTTTATAAAAACACTATTTCTACTAAACTTCATTTAAGAAAAAACCTTATGCTCATAAAATATTTGTATTCCCAGGTGGGGTTCTCAATAATATGAGAAGAACATGGAAAAGAGAGCAAAGATGATTCTTAGGAAGAGATGTATGGGTTGGCAGATACAGAGCTTATGAAATGGTGAAAACAAAGTCAAAGAAACAGATGAGGGGCAAAGCAGTCATGTTGGAGATCTCAGTGATGTGGTTTTGAGATCTGTTTGAGGAAGATGGTTAAGAAAGTAGTAGAAAGATTTCCATGTGGAAAGAAGATATGCAGAAAATAAGAAGCACAGAATGACCCCCAAAGGCAAAGTGGACACAATACAGAAAGAGGAAAATCTAGTTAAGGGAGTAAGAATCAACATCAAGTAAACATTTATTTATTCATTGGCCTCCAAACTCATCTCCCTGTGCTAAGCTTTCCCCGATCAAATCAGTTCTTGCATTATTCTCTACATTAAATGTCACAGTAATTTTTCTTTAAAAAGCAATATGCTTATCTACTCGTGTTGCTTATCTGCTTAAATCTATGACATCTATTGTTCTCATTATAAAATTCAAGCTCCTTCCTTAACCCAATTGACAATGCCTCTGCTTATATCTCCAGACTCTTCCCTCAGCAACTGCACCCCTGCTTCCCAACATACAAATTCTATTTTCCAGCCATACTGAATTTTAACTAATACCAAACCTCTCTTTACACTCCCAACTTTTTTGAACACCTTTGCCTTTGCCTAAAGCACTCTTACAAGTTTTAATATCTTTGTATAGCAACTATTCATTCTTCAGGTCTTAGTTTAGACAGCCCTCAGGAAAACATCTCTAACTCCCCAAAAACGGATTGAGTCCCACTCAGACTTTTATATGAGCTTGTACTGATCTGAATCATAGTACCTGTTATACTCTATTTCTTACTCTTATTATAAAAAGATTCTACTTAAAGGAGGAGGAATTCTGTCTTGTATTCCAAGTGCCAGACAGAAAACTTATATACAGGGTGGCCATCAAGTTCATGTGCAATTGCAACTGTAATGGCAAGATCTAATAAATATTTGTTGAATTGTATAATGTTATCTTATGGTGCTTACTGGAAGAATAAAAAAAGAGAACGATTACTCACATTGTTCTTTAAAGAGAAGTCACCTGAAATATAAAAATAACTCTGATAAAAAAAAAATTTTGAGGGGTGGGGGAAGGCTGATGGGTTGAATATCCAGATTATATGTTCAAATTTGCACGTAGGCTTTACACAAAAAATTTTGTCTATTTATTACACCATAATGCAAAGAGAGTGCTTATGTTTTATTTATGCAATTAGCTAAACAACACTCACTAAATGTAAAGGAATGGAAATTAATTCTTTAGAAAACTACCAATTCCATGTGGGAAAGGTCTATGCAGAAATTCCACTCCTAAATATATATCCACACACATACGCATGTGTTTACTAATAACACACATAGAAGTATGGTCTGGTAGACACAACAGCTCTGGTTTCAAATGTTCATTTCAATACTTAAGACTTGTGTTTCAACAAATTGATATTTTCTTTCCTTCTCTCACTACTATTTGTTTTTTGCTAATGGCCTATGCCTTGCCTTTTGTCTTTGTCCGTGAAATCAAGGACGGTTTCCAATACCAAAAGAGAGAGAGAGAGAGACGTAAGACGGGCTGGAACGAACCCAGGCAGCCAATAGAGCGGTGGCTCTGAGGCTCACGTTAGAAAAAGGGAAGGCAGAACTCTGGGCTGAGAAGCTCCAGCTGAGTGCGGGGACGAGCCCGTCCATCAGGGGATTTCAGTCTGAAGGGGTTTCCTGGTTGTTGGATCCGTGCTCACCTCACAGAGGTCTGAAGTCCGGAGCTGTCCGCACACTCGGAACTGTCAAGAAGTTGAGCGCCGGGAACTTCCGCTGACCTGCAGACTTGTTTTTACAGCCCGCAGATTAGCCTCTGCAGATTCGTTCACATGTGTTTGTCCTGTAAGGCACCTTGCAGTAAACTTCTAGATCCAAATGTCTCTTTTTCCTAGCATTCTTCAACTTATTCATTTTAAAAGTGCAATAAAGTGTATCTCTGCTATTCTTGTGTGTTTCAGACACAACTCAAACGCTGCTGGTGTGACGAAAGTGCAATAGCAAAGCACAAACTGGGCTCTGGTGGACCGGATGCAAAATGGCAAGGCTTTGGAACGGGCGGGAGCAAATCAGCTCTATTCACGGCGCATGCGTCGGCGCAAGGCTGGCTGGTACTGATTGGAAGACCGGTGGTAGGGGGCGGAGAGTGCCGGTCTCCGGTTTTGGGCGGGAATTGAAACTGCCACTGCTGCGGACCCAGAACTTGAGAGTTGTAAATTTCGATCCTTGAAGCGGACAATGGTGCGGCCTGTAAGGTGAGTAGTTCATGACACCGGCAAGGGTGGGAAGAAAAGCACTGAAGATGCTGTAGTTAATTTCTGCACGAGATTGAGCGGACGGGGCGGAGTAAGACAGCAGGGCAGCACCGCGGAGCGAGGGATGAGTGGTTATCAGAAAACTCTGCAGTCTGCAGTGAGAGCCGCCTACTGCTCAGAAGTATCCCAACGTCATACATAGCTTTTTCCTTCTTTGCATCCTGTTACAGCTATTGCCGTTTCTTTTACTCACGCTGTTGGAATTAAGAAATGTTACGTTAGCGTTTGAACAGCACTTTACATTTCACCGAGCGCCTACGTATCTTAAACACTGTAGTTCTTTGACACAGAAAGAGTAGGTATTCCTATTTTATTGATTTAAAAATCCTAGATATAAAGGCCAAGTTACCTGAGTTGCACAGCTAGTATGCTCAAACCTAAGTCATCTGGCTTCAGAGCCCCCTTTATACTATTTGAAACTATTCGTTTACCTTTTTTGTGTGTGAGACAGAGCCTCAAGCTGTCGCCCTGGGTAGAGTGCGGTGGCGTCACAGCTCACAGCAACCTCAAACTCTTGGGCTTAAGCGATTCTCTTGCTTCAGCCTCCCAAGTAACTGGGACTACAAGCACCCGCCACAACGCCCGGCTATTTTTTGGTTGTAGTTGTCATTGTTGTTTGGCAGGCCTGGGCTGAATTCAAACCCGCCAGCTCTGGTGGTGTATGTGGCTGGCGCCTTAGCCGCTTGGGCTACAGGCCCTGAGCCTCTATTCATTTACTTAATCACGGTCGAGTGCCATGGAAGCTGAGGCTATTCGTTTAGTGAAGTTATGTGTATTTTAACTTCTGTACTGTAATAGGTGCTGGGGGTTACATTCTAGTGGGTGGTGAAGTTAAGAGGGCAAAAATTGTGGAACTATAGTGGGAAGGAGAAAAGGCCTACTTCAAATAGAGTTGTTAGAATGTGTCTCTCTGAGGGGATAACATACAGTAACATATGAATGACAAGAAGGAGCTAGCTGGACAAAATATGGGGCAAACCAGGTAGAGTAAGTCAGAAGGCTCTATGCTTGACTAGTGCTGTAGCAAGCACCTGAAAGGAGTTTGGATTTTATTCTAAGTCAATGGGAAGTCAATGTAGGGTTTTTAGTAAATCTCTAAATCATGTCTAATTTGGGAGAGAAATTTACATTTCACCGATTTCTCTCATGGGAGACAAATCTAATTTTGCCTTTATAAAGGTCTGTGGCTGCTGGTGGAGAATGGATGGGGATAGGGTGACCACAGTGGGAGGAGAAAAACCAGTTAGGAGACTATTATACCATTGGATAGTGGTTTGGAGTAAGAGGTTATCAGTGGACATGGGATGGAACAGATGAATTTGGGATATATTTTGGAGGTACTGCTGACAGAACTTGCTGATAAAGTGGATGTGGAGGTAAGGGGGAAAAATCGAAGATGATTCCATGATAATTTTTGGTGTGAACTACTAGATGATTCCATGATAATTTTTGGTGTGAACTACTAATGGATAATCAAGGTAGGGACAACTAGGAAAAGGAACAGGTTTGGGAGGTATAGGGGATCAAGATTTCTGTTTCAAACATATTAAATTTGAAATGGATTTTAAGCATTCAAGTAGCAAAGTCAATCCCTTTGTATTGTAAAGGAATTTTAAAGTATAGGCTGCAGACTTCTGGGGGTCTCTCAAACCTCAGAAAGTCCATGAGTTCAAACTATTTTCATAATAACACTAAGACATGATTTACTTTTTTTTTTTTTTTTAAGAGACAGAGTCTCACTTTGTCACCCTTTGTCCTTCTTTGCATCCTGTTACAGCTATTGCCGTTTCTT